ACATTTATTCTGTGCCATGCACCAACACAGCTATTTATTTATATCCCCAGTGAACTCAGGTTTATAAAGAGGATGCCCTTCCCTCTGCAAAAACTAGGGTTCTCTTCCTCCTGGAAAACTCCTATTCATCCCTCCAGACCCGGCTACAGAGCCCCTTTCCCATGAGCCTCTCCTCGCCCCAAGCTGGCATTGCTGCCTCTCTGCTTAGGACCAGCCCGTCTCCAGGCTGTGCTCGGGCCCAGAGCGCACGCACAGTGCAGTCGCTGGTTTACTTCTGCCTGAAGGCCGCAAGTGGGGCTCCTGTGTTGATCTCTGTGTCCCCAGTGCCCAGCACAGTGCCCAGCAGGTGCAGAAGTAAACGTGTGTGTGCAGAGTGGATATGTGAATGTGTGAGTGGGGATCGTCTCAGTTCAGCAGAGCCCTCGGGCTTCAGCTCTCAGCTCTAGATGCCGGAAAGCCTGCCCGTCGCACCCAGCACCATCTACAGACAAAGCCTGAGGCTCCGGGCACACGGCGTGACCCTCCCGCTTAGCAAATGTGTATCCGAGTTGAAGAGTCCAGTCTTAGAGTTTCATAGACTCCGATCTGAGTCCTCGCTGTGCCTTTTCCCAGCGGTGTGCCCGGTCACAAATGCTTTGTTGCTGCCTCCCTTAAGCGACAGTAAGGAGGATTCCTGCTCAGAGAAAAGATGGTCCCAGTGATGGCCACTGCTCACGCCAGGGCTTTGCAAACATCATCTCTGTGCTTTTCTACAGGTTGAGCAAAGCGTACATCTCTCTGTTCATTTCCAGGTGGGGAAACGGAGGTGGGGACCATAGCCAAGTAGGCGCGCAGATGACAGCAGGAGGCTGAGAAAGAAACCATCCCATTTCCAGCCGTGTTAAGCGCTAAGAGAGGGGTGTGGCCCCTTCACAGGCTGGGGGAGGCGGTCTCTGGAATTACTGGACCCTGTACATGTCAGGTCACCCTCCGGCCAGCGCACCATCCTGCGCAGTCCTTGCTCGTCTGCCTTCGGGATCATTCTCTGTGTTCATGGACAGGGCCCAGCACCCCTTAGGCGAGGACCAAATCCTTCATTGCTCGGAAGGACACGGAGGAGGCTCTTGCTGATTGAGAGGCGTTTCTGAGAAGTGAGGGCTGGTCTCACTACGTACAGGGAGAGGAGGCCCTGCGGGGACCTTGAACCTGGGCTGCTGGATGAAGCAAGCGTCCTGTGCCATGATGTGCTGCGGGAGGCAGTTCCTCTCTCCCTCCCCAGAAGTCTTCAGCCTCAAACACAGAGGGGACCGCGCAGTGGGTCAGAGCCTTTGCTCACCTCCTGTGGGAGGGAGGAGGGGGACACGGGAGTGGGAGGAGCGGGAATCTGCTCCCCTTTGCCAGGCCCTCTGCTTGGCATTGGGTGTCTGCCCCTCCTCCTGGCCCCGGAGGCTTTCTTCTTCCTGCCACATCACAGCGTCTTCTTTCTGTCTTTGTGCCTGAGCTTCCTCCAGCCGAGGCTGTGTGAAGCGGTGGCCACCTGGTAGCAAGCTCCTAGAGGCGGCCCTGCACCGGCACAGGTCTGCCCTCTCCTCACCCCCACCCCCCTCCTTACCTGGAGGCCTGCTCATTCTTTTCCCTTTAAAATCCAGCCTGGAGAACAATCCACCCCACCTGCCTGCGGGGGTTTTTTCAGAGACACAAATCCCAGCCTGCGCCCACCTCTGCTTCAGTCAGTACCCTTCAGTGCCCCCACCACACCCGCTCCCATTGTCCTCAGGCTGTGCCCCAAGGTCTTCATGGTCATTGCTTGGCTTCTGAGGCCCTGGTGGGTGCTGGCTGGGCTTAGGAAATGCCCCATCTGGGCCCCGGGAGATGGCCAGGCACCCAAGGGGCAAGGTGGTCTGGCCACCAAGAGCAGGGCAGGCTCAGGGCGAAAAGGCTGGCGGGTGTGGTGGTAGGACATGGGCTCATTCTCTGTTGAGAAGGGGGCATGGGAAGCTTCTGAGCAGATCAGACTTGCCTTGTAGCCGGATCACTCCAGTTTCTGTGCTGGAAATGAACGGAAAGTGGCAAAGATGGAAGCAGCTAGACCCACTAGTAAGCTGCTGGAGTAACCCAGGCTCTGCATGCCTCCAGGGAGCTGGTGCTGGTGGCCCGGCTGGAGACGGTGAGAAGTGATCCGATGTGAATATGTCGTGCAGGTCGGCTTTGCTGTGGATGGCATATGGGGTACAGGGGAAAGGCCGACCCCAGGGCTTTACCTCGGGCAAGTGGAGAATGCAGTTTTCATTTACTCAGGTGGGTGGTCCGAAAGGGGAGCAGGCGTCTGTTCTGTGGGTTGGGGTAGACATCCAGGTGGAGACATTCAGGAAGCAGCTGGATAGTTGGATCTGGAGGGCGAAGGTTAAGTTAATGTGTCAGCTTGGCTAGGCCATGGTCAGACACCAGTTTAGATATCCCTGTGAAGGTATTCTTCCGAGACCCACATTTACATCAGTCGACTCTGAGTGAAGCAGGTGACCCTCCGTCATGTGGGTGGGCCTCGTCCAATCAGTTGATGGCCTCAAGAGAAAAAGATGGAGGTCCCCTGAGGGAGTGGGGAGTGTGCCAGCAGGCTGCCTTCAGACACGAGCTGCAACATCCACTCTTTCCTGGGTCTCCAGCCTGCAGATGAGCCTGTTTCTCCTTGGCGAGTTTAGAACGACATAATTATTTATATGTAATTCTAGCCTGCAGATTTTGAGTTAACAGATAAACATTTGGGTATGTGTTTGCAAGTCACACTATTTAAGCCTTGAGACTGGGTGTGATCACCACAAGGGCAAGTGTGGGCAGAGCGGAGCAGTCCATTGGGCTCCTCAACACAAGCCCAGATTCTGTGTGTCACTATTTACTGAGCACTAGCTCTGTGCCAGGCATTCCTTTTACCGGATGCTGCCTCTCTTTAAAACCAGAGCCATCCGTCTCCTCTTTCTTCTGGAAGTTTGGGAAATGATCCCAATGGAGCCACCTGTTTGACTGATGCTTTGCAATTCCTGTGTCTGAGTGCCTCCAGGGTTCTGGGCAGCAGGATGGCATCCAACCCCTCCATCTCCTGTGTCAGAAATTGGTACTGGGACTGGGTTGTCCCAGTACCTTCCATTCAGGCCATTTTCAGTTCCTCTATCTCCAGCCCCTTGAAGCCATTTAGTGTCTCTTGATACTGAGTCATCCTATTTATTTTTTTAAAGTTTTAATTGTTTTAAAATCTTCTAATTGATTTCAGCGAGGAAAGGAGAGGGAGATAGAGACATCAATGATGAGAGAGAATCATTATCAGCTGCCTCCTGCATACCGCACACTGGGGATCGAGCCTGCAACCTGGGCATGTGCCCTGACCTCCTGGATCATAGGTTGACCCTCAACCACTGAGCCATGCTAGCTGGGCTTAATTTTAAAAAAAAATTATTAATTAAATTGATTGGGGTGACATTGGTCAATATGAACATATAGGTTTCAGGTGTGAGTTTCTATGTTAGAAGATCTGTATATTGCACCATGTGCCCACCACCCAAAGTCAAATCTTTCCTGTCCCCTTATATGAGGACCCTTCAGTCCGCAGACCGATGCTCTTTCCACTGAGCCAAACTGGGCAGGGCTCTATTTATTAGAACAGGTAGATTTTCCATGCTGGCCAGTGTTGGTAGAAATAGCTCTGCAGCCCCAGGGGACAGAGTCGCTGAACTTAGTGACTTGCATGCATGTTTGGTGTGAATAATGAAAAGTGCAGGATCACAGTGATGAATCTCCCTCACCCTCTGTTCCTTGTTTTTCTTTGTGAGGCAGAATGTTGAACCCATATTTTCCAAGAACTATGTAGGTGGGCTGCTAGGGACAATTGATTTTTAGGGAAGTATTGTTTCTCTGGATGTGGAAATCATGAAGCAAAGAATAGCGTTGAGCAAGAGTCGGCCCGGGGACTGGACCTGGGCTCATTGTGGTGTTTGGGCCATGGTGTTGTCTGAGGCGTGACTTCTGCCTGAGATAGAGTTTGCTCTGGACCCAGGGTGATCCTAGGAGCCTTGTTCCAGCCAAATGCCCAACAGATCAGCTAAGGCCATGATTGGTTCTAAGTGAGAAGAGGTGGAGCCAGGCTGGTAGAAGGGACGCAGGTCTGTGTGTGAGGAGTACTGAGCTCTGGTTCCCACCCTGCCTCTCTGTGCCTGGGGTCAGGAGGCCTCTGAGGGGTCAGACCCTGGTCCGGGGGGAGTGGCTGCCCTGAACGAAGGGCCAGCCCTCCCTCAGCCTCCAGCCGGCAGTTGTGTTATGTGGGACCAGTGCCGCCCAATTCATTGTTGGATTTTGGGATGTTATGAAATTTCCTGAATTTTTAGGTGGGCAACGAATTCAGAAATGTTTACCACATCCCGTGGGTGACACCTGTCACCAGATAGAGCCCATAGAATGGCGCCTGGCACATAGTAAGTGGGATGCGTTGTCTTTCATGGGGTATCCCAGGCTGGGCGCCAGGATGGGAGGGAAGCGCATCTGTTTTATTTTGTCTGGAAATCAGTACAAATGTTTTCTTTTGAAAATTAATCAATTGATTTCTTTTTTAAGTTGTATTGAATTGATTGGGGTGACACTGGTTAATAAAATTATATAGGTTTCCGGTGAACCATTCTATCATACATCATCTGTATATTGTGTGTTCATCACCCCCTGCCCAGTCTCCTTCCATCACCTTTACCCTTTATATCTTCTCTTCTCCCCACCCCCCTTCCCTTCTGGTAATCACCGTACTGTGGTCTGTGTCTGCGAGTTTTTTCTTTTTTTTTCTTTTTGCTTAATCCCTTCCCCCTTTTCACCCAGCTCCCCAACCTCCCTCCCCTCTGACAGCTGTCAGGCTGTTCTCTGAACCTATGGGTCTGTTTCTACTTTGTTAGTTTGTTTTGTTCACTAGATTTCACATACGAGTGAAATCATGTGGTACTTGTCTTTCTCTGACTGGCTTGTTCCACTTAGCATGATGTTCTCCAGGTCCATCCACGCTGTCACAGAAGATTTCCTTCTCTTTGACGGCCGAGCAGTGTAGATAAAGAAGCGGTGGTACGTTTACAGCACAAGTATCTTCAAGGAGCCGGGGGAGCAAAGCCAAACTGGAAGCCAGGTCACAAGGTGGCTGTGGCCTGGAGACGTAGAGGCGGGACATGGCCTCCCTTTCCTCAGGGTGGAAGTGTCGGCCCGAGGCCCTGGGCTGGGCCAGCTCATCTCCCCCAGATCTGCCCCCAGGCCCAGCCACCGGCCTGGCCACCTGGCTCCCGGAGGGAATCACATATTTCAACACATCCACTTTCCACTCAGCAATATGTCCTGTAGGCCTTCTGTGTGTGTGCACATACATTATTTTTAAACTGCTGTGTAGCACTCCATGTTTTGTTTTGTTTTTAACTACTCCATATTAATGGATATTTTGCTTTTATCCATTTCCCCCTTTTATTTCTGTTTCCCTTGAGGTCATAGAATTTCCTTTTCCATTCATGCTACATGCCACACCCCCTCCTCCTCTCCTTCTCTCCAGGCTTCCTCTCTCCTTCCTTTGCAGCCATCCATCTCTGATCCATTCCTTAAGCATGTTGTACCTATGGGTGCTGGGTGCTGGGTGCTGGTGGATGGGGCAGAATCCCGCGGCCTTGCCTCTCGGAGCCTCAATCCAATGGGAGGCTAGTGAAGAAGCCCATTACGGCGGTTCCTGGATGTGGATTCTACCAGTGGTTTTTTTGTGTTTGTTTTTTTAATACTTACCCAAAGATATGTTTTTATTGACAGAGAGAGAAAGTAAGAGAGAAACATCCATCCAATACGTGCCAAGACACCCACAACCTAGGCATGTGCCCTTACTGGGAATTGAATCTGCCATCTTTTTGGTCCATGGTATGATGCCCCAACTAACTGAGCGAGCTGGGCTGCAACCGTGTTTGTAACGGAGCTCTGTCTGGCCTTACAGCCTCAGTCACCTGAACAAGCCATGGCTTTGTAAAGTGGGGGAGGTATCCTCTCCTCTTTCTAGGGATGTTGGAGTGCGTTACATGAGTGTTCCATGGGAAACACCTAACCTAACTAACCCTAGAATGTGCCTGGCACATGTTAAGTGTTCAGTAAACCTCTCTCTCTCTCTCTCTCTCTCTCACACACACACACACACACACAGACACACACACACACACACGCCCTCCTTATCCCAGAGGCCTTTCCTGGCCCCTCTGTACAAACACTCTCACTCCCATCTCGATCTGCAGCTCTTTCTTTATTGATCTCTGTAGCACTTACCACCATGTGACACTCTCATTTGTTTGTTTGTTGACGATCCGCCCCGTGACCCCTCCTGAGCTCCACAAATGCAGAGAATCCTGCTAATTTTGTTTCATGTTTTATTTCCTAGAACCTGGGTAGGTGCCTAGGAAACATGTGTTGAATGGAGGAGACTCCAGGCCCAGACTCAGGCCCAGACAGGTAGAGAAACTTGCTCAAGGTCACCCAGCTACCGCCAGGCAGTTGGCCAGTCTGGACCCAGAGCCCATTTTCTAATGTAAGCCATGAACACCTCCCTGCTGGCCAAACCAAAAACCAAAGCGACAAAGGGACACTGAGCACAGTGACAGCACACAGGAAGGGCTCCGTCAAGTTACGCGGAAGTAATAGTGATAATAATGCCTTCCGTCTCGGTCCCCTGCCCCGGGCTGCCCTGTTGGGTTGTACCCCCGCGTTTCTGAGCAATAATCCGTGAGTGCTAGTCAAAGGGCAGATGCCATCCTGAGGGGGTTAAGGGGGGGTGGCGCCCAGGCCTGTGGGCCGTGGCCGTGGCTGGATGTCAGTGGGTCATGCCCCTCCCTGCAGGGCTGCCAGGCTGTGAGAGCACAGGGTTCTGTAGAAGGCACCTTGGGTGCCCGTGCCCTGACCTGGGAGCTCCTGGAACACGCCTGTTTCTTTCCTGGGTGTCCTTTCATTGGCTGTTTTTTTTTCCCTCAAGCCCTGGCTGGGGCGATGCAGGGACCGTGAAAGAAGAGGCTGTCTGTTATCTGGGCCCCTCCCAGTTGTCCTGGACACTGTAAGGTGGGTTTTGCTGTTCCCATTTCTCAGATGAGGTGTACGTACTGAGGCTGAACCCAAGCCTGAGAGGACCCCAGTGCCTGCTCTGGAGCTGTATTGGGATTCTAACCCGTCACCGGTTCCTGAGCAGTAACTGCAGGCGAGGTGTCGTGCCTAATTTTGTTTCTCATTTGCTCGTTATGGCTTTTAGACTGTTTTCTCCAGGTGAGGGGACAGTGTGGGTAGGAGTTGCTTGGGGCAGGAGGCTCTGGCTTGTTACCTGTGCTTCTCTGGATCCGTGAGCTGTGGGGAAGGAAGCCACGTGTTGGAGCAGCACTGCTGGGGATTCATATAAAAGCGCGGCCTCTTGTTGCTGTGTGCTCTGTGTCTGGTCATCAGCCTCCTTGGGCCTCGGGTTCCATATCTGTAAAAAGGAGCGTGTTCCCTTACTTGGAGGGGACACTGAGGATTTGAGATGGTAAATATAAAATATGAAGCACGCTGCCTGGTGCACACTTGGCCTTCCATCCACGAGTGTGGCTTTTATTGTTGTTGTTACTGTATTTTAACACACAGCGTTGTACCTCAGTGTTACTTACTCTGTCCGTCCCGAGGGTGCAGACCGAGCCTCATTCATCTCGGCACCGCCACCTTCTAGCCCAGCTCTTGGCAGGTGGTCGAGGGCCGCTCTCCAAGGCCAGGCCACGTGAATGAATGGACACAGGCACAAGCGAATGGGCCACTGGTTTGCCGGGGCCGCTCTGGCCGGTTGTCGAGGGATGTGTCTCCCGGAGACTTATCCCCTGCGGTCAGATTCGGGCCAGGACAAAGCTACGGTTGCTCCATTGTTCCCAGATAACATTTCCTATCTTAACGTCTCCACGGGGCAGCCTGGGCCACACCCGCCCTCCTGTCCTATCACCCACCCCCACTTGGACCTGCCGTGCAGAAAGCTTTCATGCGGCCACCGCTGCTGCTGGTCTCCTCCCTGCCTTCAGTCACAGCCCTTGTTAACGGGGGCATTTCTGTCCGGAAGTTCCCATGTTCCCGTGAGGGCCTAGAAAATGTTAAATAAAAATGCTCTACTTGAGCCTGACTCTTCATTGTGTGACCTACGTCAGCCTCTGAGTCACCTTGTCTGATGGATAGGTCAGTCCTGCCCCTTGTCTACCCTGGAAGACACTGAGGTCCTGAAAGGATGGGACTCCTAGTGACAGAGCTGGTTGGTGAGAGAGCCTAGGACCGCCACCAGCTGTGCACCTAAGCCAGCGGTTCTCAACCTGTGGGTCGCGACCCCTTTGGCGGTCAAACGACCCTTTCACAGGGGTCGCCTAAGACCATCCTGCATATCAGATATTTACATTACGATTCATCACAGTAACAACATTACAGTTATGGAGTGCAACGAAAATTTATGGCCCTGATCAGTTTGGCTCAGTGGATAGAGCGTTGGCCTGGGGACTGAAGGGTCCCGGGTTCGATTCTGGTCGGGGGCATGTACCTTGGTTGCGGGCACATCCCCTTGTGCAGGAGGCAGCTAATCGATGTTTCTCTCTCATCGATGTTTCTAGCTCTCTGTCCCTCTCCCTTCCTCTCTGTAAAAAATCAATAAAATATATTTAAAAAAAATAATTTTATGGTTGGGTCACAACATGAGGAACTGTGTTTAAAGGGCCAGAAGGTTGAGAACCACTGACCTAAGTAATGCCTTTCCCCACCCTTCCCTATTTCTGGAAGAGGTTGGAGCAGGTTGTCACAAATTTGATGACCCAGGGCACTTTCAAGTCTGCCAGCCCTGGATGCTGTAAGATGCCTAGACATGGCCATGCCTGCCCTGACGGTGACAAGTGGTGGCCTGGAGAGCCCAGGTGGCCTCTGGAGATGACACAACTCAGGGTGCTGACACTTTCCCTTCTGCCATGTTTCCCTTTCCTCTTGAACTTGACCTTTGGACCAGTTGTTCTCAAACCGGGTCTCACATTGAAATCACCAGAGGAGTTTAAAAGTCTTGCTACTGGGACCGGCCCCCCAACGATTCTGACTTAAGTAGTCAGCAGTGGGGCCTGGGCTTTGGGGTTGTAACATCTTCCCGGGTGATTCTATAGCAGCGTCGAGAACCACTGGCTTCCGTCCCCCCGTCGCAGGGATGTTGGGAAGCTAACATGAAGCTAGCAATTCCAACTTCTCTTTAGACATAGTTCCCGCCTTCCTAAAGCCGACGTCCACTTGACCTTGCTCACCCTTGCTTAGATTCTTGGCAGCTCACATTTCCAAAGAATTGACAGTGCTGAATGGGGAAGTGGGGGAGCAAGGGAGCTGTCCCAGAAGCTGTCACGTGTGTGCCCCTGCTGTGTGCCAGGCACTGTTCCAAGCACCTTCCATATTGTATGAACTCATCTAATACGCAATCCACACAGTAGCGCTCAGAAGCTCTGCTGATATTATGCCCATTTCACAGATGAGAAGGTTGGGCATGGAGTCGATAAGTAACTTGCTCAAGCTGGTAGGGGCAGAGCTGGGATCTGGAGACACAGAGCTGGCTTCGGAGGCACCGTCATCACCACGGTGTCTGTGGCTTTGTAGGAGGGTGTGGGGCTGTGGTAGACAGGTACCCATAGGGTTGGGGATTCGCTTTCCCCAGTTGGTCCTTCAAGCTGAGGCAGAGCCATAGATCTGATCTGTCACTGTGCTACTCCGGAGCCTGGGACCCCCATGGCATCCGTAAGCAACAGGCAAACTCCATGAGGGACACCCTTTCCAGGCGGGTTGTTCCTTCACACTCCCTGTTACACATGCTGTTACTACTCCCTGGAGTTCCTCCCTCCCCCTTTCTCTGCCTGGTGAACTCCTGCTCTTGGATACCTAGCTCAAATATCCTCACCTCTCACTCATGCAGGAAGGGTCAGTGATGCCTTCCTCGGTGTTCCCAAGGCTCTCGGTCTCTCCACCCGTGGTCACATGGATCACAGCCTTTTTCTCACGAGTCCCTCTAGGAGGGGGCTCTGCCTTGCTCATGTTTGTTCTTGCCCCAGCATCCATCCTGTTGTCTCCAGCGGATGGCCGGCCTCTCACCCAGAGCCTGACCTCCTTTATCTTAGGTTTCACTTCGTTCCAGCCATGGAGACACTATCTCCTTATCTCCTGACAATCGGAGGGTTTTCTGTACGTAATGAATGCTTTCCTTCAAGGTACCTCGGGCGGCAAATTGCATAATTGGTATTTATTGTGTTTTCCTAGATGCTAGATTTCCTAAAATTCCAGGCTGTGATTTTAGAAGAATTTCTGAGCTCCCTGGAAATTTGCCCATTTTCAGCCCTGGGCTCTCTGCATTCCTGAACTTCTCAGGGCCCAGAAGAAAAAAGGGGAAAGCTGATCAGTTCTGGGAATGGCTCTGGGTGAAGAGAGGTTGGTGTCTTGTGTAGTGCTTGGCTTGATCCCTAAACTGAGCCATTTGGGCAAGAGGAGGCAGGGGCGGCAGTAATGGTTTCTTAAGGCCAGGAGTGAACTATGTGCTTTGGTGGAAATGCCAGCAGTTGCTCAGCAAGGAGTGGTAAGACCCCACTGGGCTCTGATGAGAGTGGGTGCACGGGAGTCCCTAATCAGTTGAGATGCATTGTTGAGACATCACTGTTGCTACAGTGAGGAGGACAGAACAGTCAACTTTATCAGACGCTGGTGAATTCTTAGAATTTATTCCACAGAAAGGCATGCACAGGGTCAGATGATCCTCAGCGTTGTTTGAAATAGCAAATGAGATTATCTGCCTATGACACAAAATGCCTCGTTTCTAATCAGGTCACTGGCTACATAAAAATCAAGCCAACAGGAAAGTGTGACCCAAACTCCGAGGAGAATATAGTCAACAGAAAACAAAGTAGGACTGAGATTCCAGAGCTAAACCCACATGTGTGTGATCAATTGATGTTTTAAATCCTATCGTATTTTCTAGAGTGGTTGACGTTAATAGAAAAAGTGAGTGGAAAGCACACAGTTCCCACATATCCCTGTTCCTACATATGCACAACCTTCCTCACTCCCAGAATCCCCCAAACATATCTGTCTGTCTCAACTGACCCACCTACCTTGACCCATCATACTCACCCCGAGTCCATACTTCACGTGAGAGTTCACTCTCGGTGTTATTACATTCAATGGCACATGTATGATGACATGCTCCCACCACTGTAGTCTCCCGTGGAATAGATTCACTGCACTAACAACCCCCCTGTGCTCCCCTATTCACTCCTTCTGACGAGACACCATTTGAATGCTGCTCAGTTGGGGATCGTTGGATTAAATTGTATTGCATCCAGAAAATGGAATACGGGAGTAGTGGCGTTATGAAGTGATTTGAAGCATCCTTGCAGCTCTGTTAACTATCAGAAAGCAATGCCAACCTTCACAATGTTGATTTACAAGAAGGAGAGCACGCAGCTGTGTGGGGAGGGTGCCGGCAATGACACCGACACAGCCGCCAATCCCAAACCCGCCGCCTGCGCGCCTGCATCTATGCTGAACACATCCTGCTGTGCCTGCGTCTTTGCTGACTTGGAAGTCCAGGAGACAGATCGCTCCTTGAGGGCAGGGCCTGGTGTGTCCATTTGCCGGGAGACCGCCAAGCCGAGGCTAAGCCCTGAGCCAGGCACCTCAGTGTCTGAGAATGCACAGATCAGTAAACAGACCGGGGGATTTTCTTTCCATAAATTCCTTCTATCTGCTCCTCCACAAACACATGGGGCTAGCGTGGGAGCCCCGGAAGTCCCCTCTCCTGGGCACGGTCTCTGGCCTCCCCCCCACTGACCTCTCCTCTGCAGCCTGGGGAGGCTAGGCCCTTCAAGCCTCCTCATCATCCCCCAGGGAACAGACACAAGTCAATTCGATGGGGGCCATGGCTTGAAAGGGACCTTTGAGGTGATAGTATGGCGCTGACATTGTCAGTCAGACCAAGCAGACCTGACTTAATTGATTCATTTCGTTGTGGGAACCAAGAGATCCTGCAGCTGGTATGGGACTTGGACAGGACAGCGCACTGGGGGGTCAGACCTGCTGGGGTTTGAGTCCACACTGTGGTGTGGCTGCCCTGTGGCCTTGGCCATGC